GAGAAGATGGACGGATCTTGAGAAGAAATGAGAAGAGAAGAGGCGGAGAGAAAGAGAAACAGAAGGGGTGGAAAGAAATAGAAAGAGAAGGAGGAGGAGAGAAAAACAGAAGGTGCGGAGAGAAAGAGAAGAGGAGTGAGAAAGAGAAAGGAGAAGTAGAGAGAGAGATAAATGAAATGAAGGGGGAGGGATGTCTGTTTAGGGTTTAACAGGTAAGGTTTCGTTTTATTTATTTATTTATATTCCGACGGAATATTCCGTCGAAAATTTCCACGGATTGTTAAAATTCGTCGAAAATATCCGGCGGAATAAATATCCGTCGCAAATTCCGATTTTTCCGACGGAAATACGTGTCCGTCAAAACCTGTTCGTCGAAAATCGACCTATTTCTTGTAGTGGTGGCACGGCACACAGCACCGTGGCACGACAATCTGTACCGTAGCACGACACTTATTGCCCGTGGCACGTACTACTACAAACACTCTAGTGGTTGTGCTTTCTTTTCGTAATAATTCCTTTGTTTTTTCTAAAAATCATATGTGTTCTACATACGTTTTAGCCTCGGGGGATTTAAGCTCTATCGACCCGAAAACGCTCATGGCAATAAGGGTTCATCCGAGTTTTTAAATCCACCCAAACCATGGAATCGAGTTCGATTTCATCATGAACTCGCGGAGCCGCTCGTTGGCATACACCTCAACAGAGGTTGCCTTTTTAAACGCGTCTAAACTCTTAACCATGGTACCCTTTTGACGCCCAAATAAACTTGACCGTAGTGGAACATATAACTTGACTTTAGGTTGCGAACTTCATTACATCATTGTGACTAGAGGTGGCCAGTGGGCCGGGTTGGACCCAGCCCACCCTAACCCGCACGGCTGGTGGGTCACGTGGGTTCAACCCGGTTTCAACCTGGCACAGCTCGGATTTAACCCAGGTTGTGTCGTGGGTCCAAAATTTTCAACACAACCCATTTCAACCCAGCTCGGTTTAACCCGTTTGATTCGACCCAACTCGCACAACCCGTTTTGACCCATTTAATTCGACACACCTAGCCCGTGAACCCACCTAACCCGACCCACCTCGCACAACCCAGCCTGCACGGCCCACCAACCCGCATGGCCCACCCAACCCGCACGACCCAAATCGCCCAACCCGCACGACCCGCACGGCCCGCACAATTTGCACAGCCCGCACGGCCCAACATCCATTTTTAAAAAAAACGGCTAGTTTTTTTGTATGTAACGACTAGGTTTTTGTATGTAACGGCTAGTTTTTTTATTGTATGATCATCCCTTCGATTTTCCCTATAAATACCAATTCCATTTCACTCAAATTTCCACACAACTCAATCTTTCTTTATCTCTTACTCAAAAATTCTTAATTGTTCTCAAATTCTCAAGTGTTATATAGAGTTAGATTTTTGTTAAAAAAAATCTCCTTAATTTATTAGTATTCTTAAGATTCTAAAAAAAAAAAAAAAGTTCTTCTCCATATTATAATTAGTAATCACAAAAAAAAAAAAAAAAAAAATGGGCTCAAGAGGAGGAATGGGAAGGAGTCAAAGTGGTGGTCGAAGTGGTGGCCAAAGGAGTGGTGGTGCAAATTTTTCGTATGAAATTAATACGGAAAATTTAAACCAATTTGTCAATCAATACGGAGATTATGGTTTAGGAGATGGGCGAAATATTCAAACGTCTCCACCACAACATTTCTCCCACCAATCATCGAGTTCAACTATGCCACCTCCATCGCAACCAACATCACAACCAACATCTCAACCTTCATCTCAAGGTAATTTCTAATTAAATTTTTATTGTTATGAATATTTAAAAAAAAACTATTATTAATGATTATAAAGTTAGTTTAGTTTCCAATTTTCTATGATTTATAATTAGTTAATTACCATGAAAAATGTGTTTAAGTAATTATAATTAAAATATTTAAAATTTAAAAGCTTATTTTCATGAATAGAGTTTAAAAATTAATTTCAATAATTTGATTTATGAAAGGTGGTGGCGGTGAAAGTAGAGGTCGAGCACATTATTCTTGGGTGTGGAAACATATTGAACGAGTGGAGGTCACACCCCCGGGATGGTAACCCGGTCAACCAAAGAGGTTCATGTGTACATGTCTAGTTTGCAAGGCGCTAGGTGGAAATGTCAAGTCATATAATTGGAAAACGGGAGATGGAACCGGAACCTTTAGTCGGCATTTGCAAAATAAACATCACTTGTTCGAAAATGGCCCCCGTCTTTCGGGGGGTGGCGTCCAAACACAATTGGGTGGATACATGAACCAACCCGGCGGAGGTACACCTTTCATTTATAATAAAGATAGAATGATTGAAGCAATGAGTACTTTAGTTATTGCTAATGAATACCTTTTAGTTATGGTGAAAATGCAAACGTTGAGCATTTTAATAAAGTTGCATTACAACCTGCATTTACTCGTGTCCCCCGAAATACCCTAAGACGTTATACACAAACTTCTTATTATAAGTATAGGAGTGGTTTGATTGAATTATTTCGTACTTTTGATGGTCGTGTTAGTTTTACAAGTGATGCATGGACTTCTAGTTTTGGCGAACCTTATCTTTGCATTACTGCTCATTGGGTAAATGATGATTGGTTTATTCAAAAACGTATACTATGTTTTCAAGCTATGGAAGAAAGGCATACCGGTTTTAACATCAAAGTTCGTATTTTGGATTGTTTAAAAGAATTTCACTTGAATAATAAAGTTTGGGAAATTCTCAATGGTAGCCCCAAACTTTTGGTAATTCTCAATGGTAGCCAGTTATTTAAAAAATTCTCAATGGTAGCCCCGAACTTTTTAAAAAGTTGCTCCCGTAGCCTTTATTAGTAAAAAACGTTAAGTTTCCGTTAAATTTGAACTATGGTTAAATATTTTGACGTTGGTCAGCATTTAAGACATTAACCCACCCACCCAACTGCATTTAACATTGTGCATTCATCTTCTTCTCAGTACTCTGTTTCACGCTTTGAAGGAAGATCAAAGAACACAATTGTGGGAGGGGATTTGAAGGTCGAAGAGAAGTTTGCGTGTAAAGGCTTGATTTTGTGTGCTGCTGCATCACGGTAGGTGTTAATTATTCAGTTATAGTTTAGGGTTTAATCTGTGAAATGCTCGACGTTATGTAATTGAATGACTGACGAAAAATAGGGTTTTTTTTGTTAAATTATGCATGTTAGTCGTTATATGTTGTTAATTATGGCGTCAAAATGTTGAATTTTGGTTTATTTTGGTGTTAAATTGTTGATTATTGATTGTTGGCAAATTATGGATTAAATGTTGAAATGTGGGCAATTGTGGGAATTACGGTTCGATTGTTGAATTTTGGCATGGTTACTGGTATTTTCTGTGTAATTGTGGGAATTAGGGTTCAGTTGTTGGACAATTATATGTACTGTGAATTATATGTGGGAATTTTGACGTTTTGTTTTGTTCGTTATATGTATTGTGAATTTACAGTTGATCTTCATCAACATCTTATATTGATATTTTCATATGTAATTACTGCAGAAAGGACTGCCCAATCACCCTAAAGTTTCAATACAAGGGTATTGATGTTGACATTGTAGTAGATGACATTGATAAGGTTATGCTTATAGACCTTATCATATATTATTGGGAATTTTGTGAGTTAAATTCCATCCTCACAGATACCATAGGTTTGAATATTTGTGGAAGATGAGAGAATATGAGTTAAGGACAGACAATGATTTGGTGGTAATGTTTGATAGGCTGCAGGGTAGAACTGTGATACATATTTGGGTAGATGATGGTGAGGGTGAAACTGATATTGCACAAGCTGCATCTTTGTTAAGAGCTGGTAGAGCTGAGAAAGAGAAAGTTGAAAAATGGAGGGAAGAAGCTAGGAAGGAATTAGAACAATCTGACCCACAACCTGACAACCCACCTCGTTCAAAACAAACAACTGAAATAGCAGTGACTTATGTGCTTGATGGGGATAATCAACAGGTTAAGCAACAACTAAGCAAGTTAGTTCCTAAGAGAAGTAAGTAGACAGAGGGGGTACATGGGGGAGGAGGGAGAGGAAAGGGGTGTGCAGAAGCTTCAAGTAGAGGGGGCAGAGGGGGGAAGGGCAGTAGGGGGAGGGGTAGAGGGGGAAGAGGTAGAGGTAGAGGTAAAAAAACAGGGTTTTCATTTGAGGAATGGTTTAGTTCTTCCAACCCTTTGCCTGACAATGCAGAACCAGTAACACAGCTTCCTGTAACTGATTCTAAGCCACTTATTGTGCTTAGGAGGAGTCCTAGAAAAAGATCAAAATCAAATGATCAATTAAATGTTGACCCCCCATTAACACAAGCTGAACTACTACCTGTTGTCATGAAATCAAACTCTTTCATTCCCACACCAAATAACCCAACTCCTGACATAGCAGAAGGTGATTCAAGCAGGTCTTCTTTTGCCCTAAAAAAAATAACAAGGAGAATTCCTATGACAACAGCTAGAAGAAAGGGGATTGTTATTGATTCATCTGTGAGTCAGGGGGGTAGCAACAGTTTAAGTGAAGGAACTAGGGTAGTAACAGATGTTGATGTTGACTTGAATGAGGATGATGACTTTGATATGTTCAATGACATAGAGGATGATGAGGAGAATGAGTATGTCCCTATGGGAGAGGAGGACTTAGATGAATATGATGATGATGACAGTGTTGAAAATGAGGGTGACTTAGAGGATGATAAGGGTGCTGAAGCTATTGCCATCCATGACAACTTTGATCCCTTTAGAAGTGAGCTATTTAATGATGAGATAGGGGATGATGACAACTACTTTATAGGCTTTACAGAAATGGAGAGATATACAAAAATGAGGAGTTTGGAGCAATAGTGTTGAAACCATGGCAGTTGTTTGTTGATAAGAAACACTTGAGGGATGTGGTGAGGGATTACTGTATTCAGTGTGGGTTTTCTGTGGTTGTGGTTAGAGAAAACAACCATAGGTACACTATGAGATGTGCTGCTATGGGGTGTGAGTGGAGATTGCATGCTTCTAAGCTAGCTGATGGGGTGTCTTGGGCTATTAAGAGTATTACCAACTCTGAGCACACATGCAGTGGGTTAGATGTAAAAAACTCAATGGTGAGTTGTGCATGGGCTGTGAGGGTGCTTCTTGAAGATGTGAGAGCAAACAATGACATTACTGCAAAGTCATTGAACACTCTTCTTTTTCAAAGGTTTGGTGTGCAAATGGCAACAAGCACACTGTATAGAGTGAGGCAACATGCTTTGTCTCAGATTCATGGGTCACATGATGAGTCATATGCCCATCTGCCAAAGTATTGTGAAGTCATAAAGCTGACAAACCCTAGATCAGCTGCTTTTGCTGCATGGAAAGAATTAGCAGACCAACCTGAGAGGCCTTTAGTGTTCAAAAGTATCTTCATCAGTTTTAGTGGTGTACTTAATGGGTTAAGGGGTTGTAGGGGCTTGATAGGGGTTGATGGGGCACATCTCAAAGGAAATTATGGTGGTGTCTTGCTCTCTATTGCACTGGATGGGAACAATGAGATATTCCCATTTGCTTGGGGAATAGTCACTGCTGAAGATGGTGACAACTGGTCCTTCTTTGTTTGGCATTTAAAGAATGTATTAGCTTCACTTTGAAGGGGAGACAATTGGTGCATCATTTCTGACAGGCAAAAGGTTTACATTACTCAACTTAATTTAGCCTATTTACCTTATTTAATTGATGCAGATACCACACTAACATCATGTAAGTGTCAAATGCAAGGTATTGATATTGCATTGACTGATGTATGGCCAGAAGTTGACAGAAGGTATTGCTGCAAGCACCTTGCAGTCAATTGGAAGAAGTCATTTCCAGGGCCTTTGTTGTTCTCTTTGTTTTGGAGAGCATGTAATGCTAACTCAGAGTTCACTTTCAAGAAGGCTATGGATCAATTAGGCAAAGTTAATCCAGCTGGCAGGGTTTGGCTTTCTAAATTAGGAGATCAAAAGAGGTGGAGTAAACACAAGTTCAACACTGAACTGAAGTGTGATGTCAATGTCACCAATTTTGTTGAAAGCTTCAATTCCACACTAGGAATGGACAAGAGCAGACCAGTTCTGACATTACTTGAAAGTAAGTCACAATGACATTTATCTGCTATAATGCTTGGCAAAAGGGTTCCAATTATCTGTTACTAATTTCCCTTTGTTTATTATAGGTGTTAGAAGGAACACTATGGTTAGAATGGCAAAAAGGAGGCAGGTTTGTGAGACATGGAAGAGGCAAGACATATGCCCACACATTATAAAGAGGATACATCAGCTTGTTCATGAGAGTAGGACTTGCATTGCATACATGAGTGCTGAAGGAGAGTATGAGGTTCAAGATGGCAAGTCTGTGCTCCCTGTAAACCTCAACAACCACACTTGCTTATGCAATGTGTGGTAGCTGACTGGAATTCCATGCAGACATGGTATAAGAGCCATCATTAAAGCAAGGTTGGACCCCCACTCCTTTGTCAGTGACTGGTATTCAGTCACCAAGTACAAGGAAGCTTACAGCTGTGGGATTAAATCCATACCAGATGTTGAACAATGGCCACCCATAGACATGCCTCACATTAATCCACCACCCATGAAAAGGGGCATAGGGAGGCCTTCTAGAGAGAGGAAGAGAGCAGATGATGAAGAAAAGAAGGGGAAAAGGGCTAAGACAGTTAGGTGCAACAACTGTAAAGCTTTTGGCCACAATGCAGCTACTTGCAAAGGAGGTATGACAGCTAAGAAAAAGGCAAGCTATGGTAAAAAGGGTAAGAAGAAGCAACAACCACTACCATCCTCTCAACCCAGCATTAGGGACAAGATCAAGATCAAGATCTACTGCAGCAGTTGCTACATCACAGCCTTAAGCTTAACTTTTTTATTTTTATGACAAATATCATCAGCCAAAACATTAATTGTTACTTATAAATATTTTGTAATGAAGTATTTTCTATCAGACTTAAGATATGTATTTTGTACTTAATTAGTTTATATCAGACTGCGGCCACTTCATTTTATATCAGATTCCTACTGCAGCCACTTCAATTATTCATAAGTTCATTTCAGATTCCTAAATTGCATATGTTCAGTCCTACTTTGCATATTAATTTGCTTGCATATGACAGTAGGAATTGCATTACATTTGTTGGTTTGCATTTGCATATGTTCACAAAATTGCATTTATATATGCACATGGTAAAATAGGATAAATTTAAAGCTCATAAAATTAGCAAACAACCCCATTTTATTCAAATACCAGTGCATTTCATACAACCCTAAGTCCTACATTACATCACAACACATGAAAATTATTCCATCATACTACACAGGAAATACACAAACAACACCACAATTGCAATCTTCACACAACAGCTAAGTCCGTCTTTCACTCCAGCAGCAATTGCAGACCCAATTCCCCTGCTCCAGAACACAATTTCTTCATCATTCACCCACGAAAAAAATCCACACAAGTTGCACTTGTAGTAAGCTCTTCCTGGGTTGCTCCTTGAGTCTGATATCTTGATGTCAGCGTATTTCTTAGGCACACAGTTGCAGACCTTCATCTTTTCCCATTTTTCAGCCATGGCTAATGTAAGAAAAATTTCATAGGGTTGGCAGTGGGGGAATTAAGGAGGAGAAGGGGTATTTAAAAAGGGAGAGATGCAAAAGAAAGGGAGGGAAAGTTTGGAGCCAAAATAACCTTAGTTAGCCTTAGTTAACCTGACAAACCGAAATGACCACTTAATAATAGAAACTTAACGTTTTTTACTAATAAAGGCTACAGAAGCAACTTTTTAAAAAGGTCGGGGCAACCATTGGGAATTTTTTAAAAAACTGGCTACCATTGAGAATTGCCAAAAGTTTGGGGCTACCATTGAGAATTTCCCATAAAGTTTTTTTATTTGTCTCTTGATAATGCAACTGCAAACACAAAGTGTATTGACTATATGAAAAATGACTTCGAGTTACATTTGTTGTTGGGTGGTAGTCTCTTGCATGTTAGATGTTGTGCTCATATTTTGAATTTGTCTGTTCAAGAGGGTCTCGCTGAGTTGCAACAATTGCTAAACCCAATTAGAACAGTTGTAAAATGGATTAGGATTACTCAGTCAGTTAGAAGAAAGTACATGGCTATGTGTAAAGAGAGAGGTCTTAAGAAAAGACAATGATCTATTGATACCCCTACCCGTTGGAATTCTACTTTCAAGTTGTTGAATGATGCTATAAAGTATCGTGATATTTTAACCCAACTTTAAAATGAGACTCGTGTTGATCCTACCGAGTTAATAACTGAAAGTCATTGGACTAATGCTTCTTTTGTTCGTGATGTTTTAAAAGCTTTTGATAGTGCAACTCATATTTTCTCTTATATTTATGAGCATAACATTCATTTAGTCATAATTGAGTGTGTTAAAGTTGTTCACACCATCGAAGAGCATATGATGATTGATGGACTTCGTCCCGTTCTTGATAGCATGAAACGTAAGTGGCATACTTATTTTAGTGAATTTCCAATAGAATTGCTGCTATTCTTGACCCCAGTGTCAAAGCTGAAGGTTTGGAAAATCTTTTAGAATTTTATTATACGAGTTTAAGTATCGATTATGATGTTAGTGAATATATTAACAATTGCAAATCTGTTTTGGGAGACCTTTATGATCATTATGCATCTATTTATGGTTTGGATTTAGCAACAGAAACTTCTACTAACACTTCCGATTCTAGATTTGGTTTTCTTGATAAAGTTATAAAAAAAAAAACACAAAGCATCTACATCATTCTCATCATCATCTTCTTCAACACTTGCTATTAATGATTATTTGTCATATCAACATGAGACCAACAACAACTTTCAAATTATAAAATGGTGGCAAGAACATAAAAAGAGTTTTCCTATATTGGCGAGGATTGCAAAAGATATACTTGCAGTTCCCGCTTCATCCGTTGCTTCTGAGTCTGCTTTTAGTGTAGGTAGAAGAGTGTTAGATGAAAAAAGATCTCGCTTTACTCCGGAAAGCATTCAAATTTGTGTTTGTAAGAAAGACTGGGATCAAGCTGAAAGAAGAACTCAAGGTTTAAAGGAAGACGAAGACGATGAAGATGATCCTGTGATGATATTGGAATCGTCAACGGATGATGCAGCTTCCGAAGATGATGATGCAACAAACATGGGTGGCTAGAAAAGTCTAAATCAGGTACGCTAAGAACTACGTGGGCTTTTATTCTTTCGGGATACGTAGGCAACTTATTTTTAGAAAATTACAATTTAATTGCAAAATTAAATTTTAGTTTTCTAAAGATAGGTCAAAGCCCCCCTTCCCCCTAAATTCCAAAAGAAGTACAATATAAGAACTACGTGGGCTTTGCTTCTTTCGGGATACGTAGGCAACTTATTTTACGAAAATTACAATTTAATTGCAAAATTAAATTTTAGTTTTCTAAAGATAGGTCCAAGCCCCCCCCCCAAATTTCAAAAGAAGTACAATATAAGAACTACGTTGTCTTTGATTCCTTATTTTATAATATAAAGATACGTAGGAATCTTAAATAAGAGCAACTGAGCAAGTCATCAAATTGTTAATTTTGTAAAAATTAAAACACCACACAACCCACCCGACCCTAACCCACGAACCCACCCGACCCTAACCCACCTAACACACAAACCCACCCGACCCTAACCCACTAACCCACCTTGACCCGTCTAACCCACAAACCCAGCTCGACCCACTCACGACCCGTCTAACACACGAACCCAGCTCGACCCACCCACGACCCGTCTAACCCACGAACCCAGCTCGACCCACCCACGACTCGTCTAACCCACGAACCTAACCCTGGTGCGTCCAACTTCTCTGACCCAACCCACGACACGGCAAACCCTACCCTACGTGTGTCGTGCCGTGTATCATGAAACCCCAACCCACGACCCACCTAACCCTAACCCAGCTCGCACGACTCGCACGGTGGACACCTCTAATTGTGACTATACGTTACTTAGCATTATTGATGTGTTATCTAACCTAATATATGTTTGTTCCTCTTGGTTTTTTTTGTTTTTTTTAATTTTTTTTTTTAAAATAACATATGACTAAGGGATTTTATTCCACATAGTAATTAGTACGGATCTTAAAATTGAGTAAAAACTGGAAAGAAACACAAAACTGACCCTAATACTGAGTACCGTGCCACGGTAGTTTGTACCACAACACGATACAGATTGTCGTGCCAGGACAGTTGTACCGTGGCATGGTACCCAAGATAAGTTGCAGTTAGTCAGTTTTGGTCTTCTGTGATTGTTTTTGTGGTCTGTGTGTCTTGTATGTGTCGTCTAATGTCGTGTCTAACCATACAGTCATAACACGCGTCTCATAACTTGGATCACTTAACCACTCACGAGTCAAGTCTAATCCACACACTTCTTTTTTTATTCGAGTCGTGCACTATGTTACGTACTATGACGGTATCCTCCCATACATACTTTTACTACAAACAAAAAAATCGTTTTCAAAACCTTTCTTTTTATTTTCTTTTTGTTTTTTCTTTCCCTCTTCCGGTTGGGTCAAGATTGAGTCAAGTCATTAAAGGTGCATTTGTTTCAATATTGCAGCACTATGTCAAGGAGCAGGGGCAGATTAGTACAGCTCGGTTCGCTATCACAACAACCTCTTAAACATAAGAAGCATCCAAGGAAACCTCTGTCGTCTCCACAAAGTCCATCTCCATCACCCCAAGTTCATTTTCATTTCACTCCAATGGCTAGCAAGGAAGATATCGAGCAGATCAACAAGTCCATTGCTGCACTCACTTCTATGTTGGAAGGCCTTACTACTAAGGTCGCCACCATGGAACAAAACAATGCTACTCTTGCATCAGTTGAGAATAAGGGTGAGCAAAGACCTGGGGTACCCGGTACTGGACCCGAAACCGGTTAGGACCCGCCGGGTCCGGATCCGAAACTGGTCTCACCGGTTCCGGGACCAGGTCCAAAATGTCAGACCCGGTTGTAACCGGTTCCGGGACCGGGTCCTAAAATTTCGGACCCGGTACCCACTGGGTACGCGGTAGGAACCGGTTCCAAAACCGGGTACCCGGTCTTTGATCCAGACACACCGGGTACCTGGAACCGGTACTGGTTTAGTTATAAATTTTTAATTTTATTTTTTAAAAACCTAACAGTCATTAGGCATTTAGACCCATTTACTTAGGGTTTTCTACGGTTCTACGCTTCTACCTGAGTACCAGCCTCCATCTTTCATTTCATCCAATATTCCAATTCATTCTAGGGTCTCTACTCTTCTCTAGGTTTCTCCGTTCTCTTCTGTTTTCTCATCACTCTTTCGTTCTCTGTTCTCATCTCTCCTCAAAATCTCATCCTCCCTGATTCTCTCGGTCTTTTCCGAATCTCCGGTACCAGACGCTGTTACTCGTAAGTATTTTTCTCACTTTTTTCACTTTTTGTTTCAATAATGATTTTCCTAGAATTACTTGGTTGTAGAATTTGTTAGTTTCGATTCAATATTAGTCGCCTTTGAAATTGTGGATGAAGAGCAATCTAGTGATTTGTGGGAGGAGTTGTTCAGTGAGTTGTGGGTGGATTGGAGTTCAATTAATTTGGTTGCTCAAAACTTATTTTTCATAGATTGTAAGATTTGTAACTATGTAGTTTATATTTTTTTGTTAAAATTTCAATTAAGAGATTGTAATGTTGATTTTATTGATTATTGTTTCCGTAAATGTATGTAGCCTAAAAGCTATTGTTTCAATTAAGAGGCTGTGATAGTTAGTTTAGTTACTTTAGTGAATATGTTGCTTAATTGCTTGTTGTTGAATACGCTTGACTTTTTACTTTGTAAGTTTGTTAGCTTCCTCGTAGTTGAAATCTTATTGTTTAATCCCTTGCATCAAAATGATTTGAGTATAGTGATGAATGATATGGCACCATTTTCTGATTTCTTTTTCTCCCTATGCATGTAATACATAGTACAAAATATAACTATATTGTGCTGGGTTCTAAATTATTTTGTTACTTTTTGAAAGGTAGGAAACTGGTTTGTTTGTTTGTTATATTTTGGTGGTTTTTTTGTTGCTGCAGTTGTTTGTTGGATGGTTAGTAACTTAGTTACTGTCTTACTGAAGTATGTTCCTAATTTTTCAGAACTATGAGCAATATCGGCAATTCGTCAGTCCCTATGGATGATATGAAAGTGAGGTTAGAATTGGCAATGCAACAACTAAATCAACCAAGGTCGGTGACAAGAGGAAGTGAGAATACTGGAACCATTTTTGGGAATTTAGAGATCTGGTAACCAAAAAAAATTGTTCAAGTCAAATGCAAATACTGTGAGAGAATGCTAACAGGTAATACTAATAATGGAACTTCTTCATTAAAGAAGCACCTTGGTGCATGTTCAAAATACCCTCCAAATGTAGACAAAAAGAAAAAACTCATTTATGTTTACAAGTCTCCTGAATCTGATGCTACTATAGTCTCTAATTGGAAATTTGATGAAACTGCTTGTAGACTTGGTTTGGCAAGAATGGTTATTGTTGATGAACAACCATTTTCTATAGTTGAGCGTGAAGGTTTTAAGGTATTTTTGTAGTGTTGTTGTACCTCAATTTCATATACCTTCATGTTTTAGAGTTGCAAGAGATGTGAAAAATATATTTGTTTGTGAAAGTGGAAAATTAAAGAAATTAATTGGGGGTTTGAAATCGAGAGTGTCTCTAACAATGATTGCTGAACTTCTATTCAAAATTTTAATTATCTTGTTTTGACTGCTCATTTCATTGATGATAATTGGAAGTTGCACAAAAGAATTTTGAACTTTCAATTAATGTATAGTCATAAAGTTAAGGAGATTGGAAAAGTTGTGGAGGCATGAATTCTTTGTAGGGTTTCGTAGTGACCCGACACTACGCGGAAGGAAACCCCCCAAGACCCGCCCCTTAATTAAAGCAATTAACAAGCATAATAAACTTAATCAAACAAGATTAAGAACAAGAATTATACCTTTGTTGCGTGCTTCGCTCCCGATGAGCTCTTACTTCAAAATCCCGAAACTACGAGATCTCCGACGGATCTTACCCACGACTCGACCCGAGCGTCCCAAGTCTTGAAGGTTAGTCAAGACCCGGACAAAACAAAACTATGATTTTTACGAATCAAAGGTTTACTCTAATTATAAGAGTTGCCTTTTTAATTCCACTCAAGGTTGTGTATTTCCCAATACCATGTCTTTGGTATTTATAGGGAAATGCACCCTTGAACTTCATTCCCCAACCAATGTGGGAGAATGAATAATTTGGCAATTAATTTATTTCTAAAATAAATTAATAATTAAATTCAATCGCAATGCAACAAGTGTCAAGGGGAGAGAGGAGGTTAGGTGAGGACCATGGAGAGGTGGGGGGGACCATTCCTTGCTCCCCACCCCCTCACAAAACCGCCTTGAGCATAGGCTGCTGGGCTGCTGCCAGCTAGCAGTGCCAGCTAGCCCAGCCAGCTAGCACATGCTCAGCAGCCCCAGCAGCCCAGCCAGTCAATGCGTGCTGGCGTTGGGCGATGCTGGCGCTGGTGTTGTGTGCTAGCGCCTAGCCTTGCTAGCACATATTGCTAGCGCTGGCCCCTAGCAGCCTACGCATTGGCTAGGCAGCGCACACGCCTAGCATCTACGCACCAGCCTCGCGCAACACGCTCACATAGCCAGCATGTGTGCTGCTAGCGAGCCACTAGCATCTCACGCACACCCACGCATCCCCTAGCAGCCTTGGTGCGTAGCGATGCTGGGCTGCTATGCGTGGCCTAGCAATGTGCTGGCGCCCAGGCCCTCGCACACGCATGGTGCACTGCTTGGTGCTGCCATGCGAAGGCTAGCACGCACGCCAGCACGCATGCTGCGATTGGTTGCCTGGTGCGCCTATTGCTTGCGATAGGCTGCCAGGTGCTCCTGGTGTGCCTAGAGCTTGCGATAGACTTCCATGTGCTCCTGGTGCACCTAGAGCTTGCGAATAGGCTGCGATGGCGCGCCTAGGCTGCGATGGTGCACCTAGTACACCTAGTGTGCTTAGGCTTGCGCCTAGCCATGCCAGGTGCATGGTAGCTCGAACTAGCCTAGCATCCACATGGCTAGGCCAGTGTGGTGCTAGGGCTATGTTCATACTTGTCGCTTTGTGATTTTGTGACGCTCGGTCTCGACGCCCTAGGCTCGATATCCAACGTCTGTATTCGTAAAACTCTATCAACTCATTAAATCCTTTCGGATTAATTTGTCGTCTCGGATCGGTGATTCGATTGGGTTCGACCCGAAGGGTTCAGTTAAGATTAAGCTGTAATATCAATTGTACCTCGATATTACTGATCGGAAGCGGCCTTCACCTAGGCATTCCGATCACTTGATCTTACTAAAGAATTAATTCTGTAATAATTCTGAATCCTCTATCGGAAGAATACACTTGTTGGAAGGACACCATTCCTTTCATTCTTTAAATGGGAGATTGAGGATCGATTGTTTTCTTTAACCGTTGATAATGCTAGTTCAAATGATGTGCCGGTTGGATATTTGAAAACACATTTTCATGATAAACTTGTTTTGGAGGGATCATTTTTTCATATGAGATGTGCTTGTCATGTTCTAAATTTGATTGTGAAAGATGGTTTATCTAGTGTGAAGTCTTCGATTTCTCGAATTTGTGCTGCTGTTAGATATGTGAGGAGCTCACCTTCTAGAGCTAAATTGTTTGCACACTCTTCTATGCTAGTTAAAGTTTCTTGTAAAGGTCCAGTTTGTCTTGTTGTGGCAACTAGCTTAGATGGAATTCTACCTTTATCATGCTTGAAACCGCATTGAAATTTGAAAAAGCTTTTAATAGGTTTGAGGAAAATGATCCTGATTTTAATAGGGAACTCAAGGATGGAGTACCTACAAAAGAAGATTGGGTAAATGCTAAAGTGTTTGTGTTTGAAATTATTTTATGAGTCTACAAAAGAAGATGTCGGGTAGTTTATGTGCTACTACAAACTTGTATCTTCATGAGGTTTTGGAGGTGTTAACTTGTTTGATAGAATGGGAAAGCTCTATAAATATGGATATTCGTATTATGGGTAGACAAATGAGGGAAAAGTTTGATAAGTATTATGGGGATCTTGGTAAAACTAATATCATGATGTTAGTTGCGGTTGTTTAAGATCCTTGATATAAGCTTAGGTTTTTGAAGTATGCTTTTTAAAAACTTTATCCTAATGACTTTGCCAAAGTGGATGTTATTTGTGACAATTTTTATGACAATCTTCGAAAGTTATTTAACTATTATGATGCTATTATTGCTTCTTTCTCTTCCAAGAATGATTGTAATACTAATGTTGCCAATGTGGATAATAATGGTTCTGAAAACTTTAGCTCTTCAAATAGTGAGCAAATGAAAAAGTTTTATGATGATTTCGATGAGGAAGAAGGTGATTTTGTTGTAGAAAAAAGTGAATTGGATTATTATCTTGAAGAAGCTCGGGAGAAAAGGGTTGAAGGGGAAATGTTTGATATTTTGGGTTGGTGGAAAGATAAAAGTGACAAATACAAAGTATTGGCAACAATGAATAAGGACATATTGGCTATACCAATTTCTACGGTTTCTAGTGAATCCGCATTTAGTACATCAGGTCACATACTTGATCAATTTCGTAGTAGTTTGGGGCCAAATATGGTGGAAGCTTTAGTTTGTACTCAAGATTGGTTAAGGGAGTCAAATGTATGCATTGATATTCAGCGCTTTCTTGAGGATGTTGAAAAATATGAACAAGGTAATATTACTATTAATCATGTTTTATATATCTATCTATTTTATTTCTCTAAGATTACTTATATTGTTTACTATTTTTTTAGAATTGGATGATAGTGACATTGGCATCACACAAGTTAATGAATTTGTTGGAAATAATTGATGTGACAAAGGTTTGTCTAATTGTGTAATTTTTTAAATATATTATATGAAAAATATCATATATTCTAATGCCATGGTGTGCTTTTGTCTGTAGGGAATTTGTGCTTCATCATCATGCTTGGAAAGTTAGACTATTGGACTTTGTGGAACTTTTTGTAATTGAGACATCTTCAATTATGTTATTTAGAATATTTGAATTGAAAATTATTTATTTAAATATGTAATTAAGTGGCTATGAAAGCCTTTTTTTTCAAGTCATTTTCCAAGTTAGCAATTTAGTACAGGAATCCAAGCAAGGAAGCCTGTTGTTTGCTGGTTCTAGTGCTTGCTGACTTGCTATAATCCTAGCATTATTTTACGATTTTGAATAAGACCGGGTACCCGGTTTTTGAACCGGTTCCGGGACCAGTTTCAATTCTTGGGACCCGGTCATAACCGGTTCCGGATCCGGGTATTGAGAATATGACCGGGTACCCGGTTGTGCTCACCCCTAGTTGAGAAGCTGAAAGAAAATATGAGCAAGATTTTAGAATAGTTCACTTACATGGAACAACGAACCTTCTACTACTCTGGTTGTGAAGGACAGGCTTCCTGAACAGTTCTCCACTTCTGACATACCAAAGTTCAAGCCTACTGATAATCCAATATTCCACTTGAAGGTTTTCTCTACAACAATGACTCTAGAGGTGGCACTCTTCCTTACTATGTTTCCTCTCAGAGCATGCTTTCCAACAATGGTTTTATTCTTTGGATTCCAAGGACACTACAACTTGGGAAGATGTTCCTGAAAGCTTTATGAATCGTTACAAGTGTAACATTTAAACAAAGACTTCTTAACATGAGCTCTCCATCCTTAAGCAGAAAGAGAATGAAGGGTTCACTACATACCTGAGTAGGTGGAGAAAAACAGCCGCACAAATGGTTGAGTCATCAAAGGAGAAAGAGATGGTTCGTCTCTTCATCCAATTTTACTCTCAAGTACAGGCAACATCTCAGATTCCTGCCATTGAACACTTTTAAAGCTGTATACAATGTTGGCATTGCAATTAAGGATGAGCTAATGGAGAATGCTGGTAGCAACAACAATAACAATAACACTTGAAAGAACAAGAAGAACGACATTCCTTCTTATTCATCTTCTATGCCTGACAATGCTACCAACAATGTAAGCCAGTATGATCTCACTGAAGTGCTAGCTCTTGATGCTCCCTTGCCAAAGAAAAGGATAACTTACACTTCTTTGGGAATGACTTATGATGTCGCCTTTGATCGCCTCTACGGTCAAGGCTTGATTACACCTATTGGACCATTCCCTAAGACAAAACCTGAAGAAAGGAGTGCCAAATGGAACCCTAACGTTTACTGCAAGTTCCATCAAGGAAGGGGTCACTCTACTGAACAATGCTGGAACCTAAAAGATGCTATCCAAGATTTAGTCAATGCAAACAAACTTCTTGTCCCTCCGGGCGGCAAGAAATAGATAAGCAGCGATAAAAACAAGGCGTACGACGAGCCTTAGTGCGAGATTTCATGATTTTTTCCATTCTAAGTTTCTATATGTTTTATGTGTTCCGTTCACTTTTTCCATTAATAAAATGAGCATTTTTTCACCTCGATCATATCACTTTTAACTCGTGAAAAAAAAAATTGCCAAACCAAACACAAGGTATACCAATGATTTAAGGCACCCCTTTGCAACCCTTTATTCCCCGTTAAACCATTAAAGCACATGTTCTATTCTTTCAGTAACCATTTTGAGCATCGTCTAACGATTGACCTTCATTTATTCAACTCACATTCACCTAACCTTGGGATGGGAAGATGTGTAATTTATGTAATTTTCAAAAGCAAGTAAAAAAAATAAAATAAAATAAAATAAAAAATCATAAAACAATGTCTAAGGGCAAGTGTTCTAATGTCTTGGATATGAATATGTCTCGAATTGCGTCTGTCATCAAGTGCTTGGTACCATGCTTGAGAAACATGAATGTTAAGTGAGTGATAGACCGCATGATCTGGGATTGCCCACATTAATTCAAAAGAGAAAAAAAATATACAAAACCTAGAAATGAAAAAATAAGCTTGCAAAATCCAAATTTTTAAAATACAATTGCACATCTTGGGGGCTTCTCTCGGGTCTTGAGCCTTTCATCATTTCTTCTTCAACCATCAGCTTAACCACGTTACAAACCTTGAAAGAGCTCTTTGAGGTGTACATACTCTTGTGCAAAGTTTGGCTACGTTCGGCCTGATTCTTAACGGATATGTAGGCAACCTCATATCGAGGTGCGGCCACATTCATATTCACATTTATGCATGATCGAGTCAAAGAATCTCCAATGCCCATCTTTATCCATCTAGAGCTAGACTTGGGGGCCCGAACCTGTTATTTAGCCTACCTAGCCTAAAGAGTCATCATCTTAACTCTTTTCACATCGATTTTTCACAGCCACAACCTTTGCAGCCAAGCCTTAGTATTACCTTCACACACATCATTCACACATACATAACCATATCATCCTTCCCTTAGGGAACACATACACATACATAGCCATATCATCCTTCCCTTAGGGAACCCATATCATGAAGTCTTGTTTCAACACCGCACATGCTTCATCATCTTTCAATATTTCGCAAAGTTGTCATCATTCGATATTATCATCACATAATGTTCTTAGCTCCCTGACCTAAGCAACATTTAGCAAGACTCATACAAAGCATACTCTACTTAGCCTCCTAGCCTAAGTACATTTTTATTAACTTCATAAGATCGTGTCACATAACGTAACTGTTCTTAGCCTCCTGGCCTAAGAACAGGCATCATGCAAATATCATTCTCAGATCAAGTATCTCAATCTGACTTCTTCTCATTTTTCATCCTTTTTCTTTTAAGGAAGTTGTAAAACTTACTTCATCATATTTATTTCAATTTTCTTTTGGGGAAATCGTAAAACTTCATTTTTATTTCATTTTCTTTTGGGGAAATTGAAAAACTTACTCCATTTTTATTTTATTTTCTTTTGGGGAAGTTGTAAAACTCTGTTTATTTCTATTCTTTTTTTTTGGGAGAAAGTCGGTATCCTCCACATATGAAAAATTACAGATATTTTTCGCACCATTAACTGTGCACGCACACACCTAAAACACATACACACACAATCATAAGACATACACATGTCATGTCGTGTTAAGTCTAACTCCGTCAAATTAGTGGTCCAGTCTTGAGTCAATCACCGTATACACGAGTCTGTTGGCAAATTCCATTTTGCAGATCTCAGGTACAACCTATGTTCGGGGACAATCGAACAACTATATCTTCAGCCTATGTTTGGGCCCAATTGAACAATCATATTATCAGCCTTTATTCGGGACAATCGAGCAAACAACCTCCGTTCGGGGATAATCGAGCAATATATTATCAGCCTCTGTTCGGGGACAATCGAGCAATCATATTATCATGTTCGGGGACAATCAAGCAAACAACCTCTATTCGGGGACAATTGAGCAACCATATCATCAACCTCTATTTGGGGACAATCGAGCAAACAACCTCTGTTCGGGGACAATCGAAGAATCACCTCAGCCTCCGTTCATGGACAATCGAACAACTATTTCATTAGCCTCTATTCGGGGACAATCGAGTAAGCAACCTCCGTTTGGGGACAATCGAGCAATCATATAAGCAGCCTCTGTTCGGGGACAATAAAGAAAACATATCAACAACCTCTGTTCAGGGACAATCGAATAATGTTGAACCCTCTTCTCCACCAATACCTATACAGTCAGATGCACATGGCTTGAAGGTATTGAGCAACACCTACACAGTCAGTTACACATGATGTGAAGGTGCAACCATCGACATTTCATCATCATCACCAACGCCTATTGATAACTTGTTATTTGGCATGATTTTAGGGTACTTTTGAACCTTGTTTTCGTTATTAATCGACATCAAAGTTCATTTTTTATCCTATTTTTATGCAAATTTTGTACCATCCATGCTTCACCGGTTGTTTGTGTTTTTGATGTAATGTAGCTATTTTTAGCACTATGGACATGATCAAGCATGAGTGAGCAAGGATAAAGGCAAGCTTGGTTGATAGAGCCATGGAGGAAGAAGGAGGAATGCCGAAATTAAAAGCTTTTGGAGAACCTTGAAAGGTCGTTTGCGTAAGCGTCAACTTCAACCAACCATAACTTTTGATCTTCTCAACCTTTTGAAGCGATTCAAATTGGAGATTAAATTTCGTCTCAAGAGATTTCCAACGACTGGTCACAAGTCCATTTCTGACAAGAAACATAGAAGTTACAGCTTCCCAAAGTTAAGCAGTCCAGGCAGGGCATCCTGCACGGACGTGCAAGATGATAGCACGACGGTGCAAGTCTGCACGTCTGTGCCAAAAGCTGCACGTCCGTGCAGACCTTGGCAGAAGCTTCTGCCTCCATTTTGGCCCTCCTGCACGTCCGTGCCAAACTTGGCACGGCCGTGCTTAGCCTTGCACGTCCGTGCAGACCTTAAGTCGAACTCCTTCCTTGTTTTCTCCGTCCTTTTTATTTGGGGGTCATATAAATACCCCTTTAGAGCTCATTTGTACTAAGAGGCAGTTTTTTAGAGCTTTCCTCATAGTTTGTAGTCTTAGAACATTAAATTCTCAAATCATTAGTTAGCTCTCAATTATTAGCTTGGAAACATTCAAATTCAATCATTGTAGAAGACAAAATCCACCATTGTTGCTCACTTTGAAGCCTCATAGTAACCATTTCTTACTCATCTTTTCTACTTCTCTTTACTTTGTTGTTAATTATTTGCTAGTTCTTGCATGTTTAGATTGTTAATTAGCTTAATCCTTAGTTTGAACTTGTTCATGAATTGCTTGAAATCTTTAATTGCTTTAACCTTCATGGATTGTGAGTAGTCTAAATTCTAGGGTTTCGGTAAAACCCTAAATGTAGTCACTAATTACTTGTGGCATGTGTTAATTTGGTTGTTGTGGGATGTTAATTAGTTGAGCTTAAGTGGTTTAATTGCTTAGTTCTTGTATATTGCCATTGCTAGAACTATTTATCCAAGCTTTCTCAACGAAGGATCGAGAGATGAACTTGAGTTAGCTCCCTTATGCTTGATTGACCCGAAATGCCATGAGAATAGGGATTACCGGTCAAGGGAATGTTTATGTCATCGTGATTATGCTTTAACACTTGTTTTATGCTATGTAACCACGAGAGTAGGTTGTATTCATGATTCAAGTAATCCCTCTAGCTTGAGAGAGTAGTTGGGTGCTTTAGATGACTTCCCCTAATTTATCCCATTAATTTACCTTGATTGTTGCATGCTAATTGTGATTTGTGATGAAATTGGGTGGTATAACCGAAGCCCTATATTCCTCTTAATATTGTTAATCTCCTCTTAGTTTTAGTTGAATTGAATTAGTAGAAGTTACTCAAAACCAACCCAATTTCGACTTCATTTAGCTTATTTAAACGATAGTACTCGGTGGTTGGTTCAACGCCTCTCTTGGGTTCGACCCTTTCTTACCCTTGCTAATAGTTAGTGAGATCAAGATAGGAATTATTATCTTTGGTAGGCTCGACGACGGCCTATCAAATTTTGGCGCCGTTGCCGGGGGGGGGGGGGGGGGCAAAGTCACATTGAATGTATTATTGTTGAATGAGACTAGATGTGTGTATATGTATAGTAGTTTTCTTACCTTTATTTTTGTTTATGTGTGTTTAACTTGTGATAGTCATTGCTAACGTTTTTCTTAGCTTTGTTTGACTTTGCATGACACGAAAGAGTAAGCAATCACCACTTATTCTCGTTGATCCAGAGCTAAATAGGACTTTGAGAAATGTGAGGAGACTCTTGCAAACCCGAGTTTTCCATTGTATATTCGGATTCCGATCCAGAAGAGGTTTTTGGAGCTAACGAAGAAGATAACATGGGATAGAATCCTCCTCAACCATTGTTAAGAGACTATGACCATCCCAACGCGTTCCAACTTCGGAGTGGCATACGTCTTCCCACCACAAATGCAAACAACTTTGAGCTTTCACCACAACTCATCCGTATGATTCAAAGCGATCAATTTGGGGGTAGTCCTTATAAGTGTCCTTTTGCTCATTTGGACAACTTTCTTGAATTGTGTACAACTATCAAGCAAAACAACATTTCGGAAGAGTTTATTCGGATGCACATGTTTCAATTCTCCCTTCGAGACAAAGCAAAGCATTGGTTGAGAATGGTTGAAGAGGGATCATTGAGTACTTGGGATGAGGTGACTAGAGCTTTTCTTGGGAAGTATTGCCCTCCCGAGAAAACCGCCGAATTAATAAGGAAGATCACCAACTTCAACCAAGAGGTTGATGAAACTTTGAGTGAGGCATGGGAGCGGTTCAAAGATTACACTAGAGCATGCCCTCACCACGGTTTCACCTCATGGATCATAGTGCAAAGCTTCTATGATGGTCTTACTCCTACCTCAAGGGCCAACCTTGATTCGGGAGCCGGAGGTAGCCTTAAAAAGCTATCGGTTGACGAGGCCTACAAAATGATTGAGGAAGTGGCTAAGCATTATGCTTATGGAGGTGATAAAAGGCAAGGTCAACCCAAGAAGGGCGGTAAGCATGATCTTGAAGCAATAGATCTTATTGCTTCAAAGGTTGATATGTTAGCTCGAAAGCTAGATCAAGTGAACAATGTGCCCGGTAGCTCCTCCCCACAAGTCATGTCTTGTGAGACTTGTGGAGGAAATGACCACTTGGCATCATATTGCAACACTACAACGGAGCATGTAGCTTCACTTGGTAGGAATGATCCTTACTCCCAAACGTTTAACCAAGGTTGGAAACAACATCCAAATTTTGGGTGGAAACAACCCAATCAAGCTCCCCCTCCTGAAAACAATTACAACCAAGCTCCTCCTTACAATCAACCCCCTCCACAACAACAAGCTCCCTATCGCCACCCCAATAAAAGAGACAATGTCAAACAAAGACCCCAATACAATCAAGCCCCTCCTCCTCCAAAATCCAACATTGAATCCGTTTTGGAAACCTTCATGACCCAACAAATCAAGATCAATGGGGAAGTTAGTAGCTCAATTCAACAACTCCAAGCACACAACAAGATGACTGAAAGTCAATTATCTCAAATTGCACAACAAGTTGGGTGCACCTCTAACCCCGGTGGTCAATTTCCAAGCACAACGGTAATGAATCCAAAAGCACAAGCAAAATCAATCACCTTGATTATGGAAGGGGGGGTATGAAACTCCAATTATGAGAGAAAATGTTGCCAAAAAGGGAGATGAGGGAGATAGTTGGGTATATGAAAGAGAGTTTGAAAATGAAGTGAGTGAGGAGGCGAGAGGAAGGTCAAAAGTGAGTGATGAGGGTGCCTCAAAGAGAGACGAGGGAGAAGTGAAGAGCCAAGCTCCATTGAAAGCATATGAGCCTCGTATTCCATTCCCTCATAGAATGATAGAGAAGAAGCTAAATGAGAAACTTTCCAAGTTCCTTGATGAAATGAAAGGACTTCAATCAAACATTCCACTTCTTCATGCTTTGTCACGAATGCCTACATATGCAAAGTTTTTGAAACATATTCTTTCTAACAAGAGTAGGCTTGAGGAAAGTGATTCTATCTCCATTCTAACGGACATAAGTGTTATCCCTCAAAATGAGCTTCCCGAGAAGTTTGGTGACCCCGGTAGTTTTGCTATACCGGTGAAGGTTGGGGATCTTGAATTAACAAATGCTTTGTGTGATCTTGGGGCTAGTTTTAGCCTTATGCCTCTCTCTATGGCAAAAAGATTAAATCTTGGGGAGATTAGCCCCACCAAAATGTCAATCCAACTAGCCGACCGCTCGGTTAAAGTCCCATTGGGAGTCTTGAAGGACATCCCAATTCAAGTGGGGAAGGTTCTTGTGCCTTGTGATTTTGTAATCATGGAGATGGATGAGGATTTCAAAATTCCTCTCATATTGGGTAGGCCCTTTTTGAAAACCGCGGGTGTTAATATTGACATGAAATAAGGGCAACTTACCTTACATGTTGGGCATGAAAGAATCTCTTTCTCATTTCCGGAAACGTTGAATGACCCCATGGTTAAACAAGTTCATCGGGTTGATGTTTTGGTTAATATTTTGAAAGAAGACATGGAGGAGTCACAAGATGAATTGACTCATGCTCCGGAGGTGAAAAAGCAAGAGAGGGCCAAGAAGAAAAAGAAAAACAAGATCAAGTTGATAGACAAGATGTTTGGTTGCATTTCTAGTGATGATAGCAATGTGATTATTTTGCCTAAGGAAAATGGCAAGTGTGTGGGAACAATGAGATGGGTCAAAAAGGTGTGCCTTGACCCTCCCTAATTTTGGATAGCGCAATGTCGTCAAGCTAGTGACGTTAAAGAAGTGCTTCCGGGAGGCAACCCGAATATTTTTGTAGTGGATTAACTTAAAAAAAAAGAAAAAAAAAGGAAAAAACAAAAGAAAAAGAAAAAAAAAACAGCACAAAGTGCATGTCTTCCAACAACAACCAACAGGAACAAAGGTACCAAGGAGGTTCAAGCGTCGAAGAAGACCCGATCCTTGAGTTAGTCTTCTTTCTCCTTTTTTTTTATGAGCTTTTATTGCTTAACATTGAGGACAATGTTTATTATAGCTTGGGGGGAGTCATTTGCATGCCTTCTTGACATGTTGGTTTGTTTGGTTGCGTTTGTTTTGGTTGTTTCATTTCCCTAATATCCTAGGCCCTTAATCCAATTTAGCTTCCTTGAAATCCAAACCTCTTGTCATGCGAATATTAGTGTTCCCTCTCTAGTTAGTAATGTGAATATTTTCGCTTTCTCTTCAAAAAAAAATGATGAAAAAATTGAAAAATGAAAAAAAAAATAAAAAAATTTGCCCAAGGTTGAGACTCAAATGACAATGCTTATATGTTTTGCTTGCTTGACTCTTGAGCGATGAGTACTAGCTCTCTTAGAAGCGTGTATGCAAGAGATGGGGTCATTTAGAGGTCTATTAATCTTGATTGCATTAGTGTATATGAAATGAAAGCCAATGAATGCTCAATTGCACACCTAGTATAGGATATTGTCTAATTCGCTCAAGTAGGATATGTTTGAATTGAATTGCGGTCCCTTGTGCCCTTAATGTGCCTCCTTTCCTCCCCAAAATGAAACTCTATTAGGGAATTGGTTATAATTGTATCATGTGTAATAAGTGGCATAATAAGTCACATGTTCTTAATAAAAGAAAGAGCCGCTCACAGTTAAAAGAGGCAAGAGCATTGAAAGTTGAAAAAAAAAGAAGAAAAGAAGAGCATAGAACAATGAATAAAAAGGGAGACTCTCGAAAAATTATCAAAATTTTCTTCTTTAGAGGTCAACTAGTGGATGCCTCCCACACCTTGTTTACATCATTATTTCTTATGAAATTCCCAAGTTAGAGTGTAGTTAAGAGGCCTTGGGTGTGCATTTTGGGAAGTGGACTAGCATTTTGAGATTTTATAACCGAAAAAGGGCTTGTTGAAACTTTGGAATATCTAGGTGTGCTCTAATGAACTAGTAAAAGGTCTAAAGAAGTATCCTAGTGCAATCTTTCTTAGTCCTCCTCTTTACCCCCAACTCATGTGCACATTTGTATGATTGGTAATTCTTGAAAGTCGCTCATTTGTCTTGCTTGCGATTTATATCCCTATGAGTTGACTTGGGTGAGAATGACATCGGAACTTGTGTAGTTTGATAGTTTTGTTGTGGTTTGTGTGAGTTGTGGGTTAAGCTCAATGGAAACCGTCACGAGATAAAAACTCGTCCTCTAAGGCGACTTAGAGGTTTAAATTGCTTCTCACTTGTGCTAAAAGTGATGATGGCTGTCACCATGCGGATTTGTGTATTTATGCTTCCTCCTTGTTGCCTTTCCTTGGATTGATGTTAGCAAGTCGTTTTCCTCCTTTGATTCGACATGTTTGTTTTTCTCGAGGACGAGCAAAAGCTTAGCTTGGGGGGATTTGATAACTTGTTATTTGGCATGATTTTAGGGTACTTTTGAACCTTGTTTTCGTTATTAATCGACATCAAAGTTCATTTTTTATCCTATTTTTATGCAAATTTTGTACCATCCATGCTTCACCGGTTGTTTGTGTTTTTGATGTAATGTAGCTATTATTAGCACTATGGACATGATCAAGCATGAGTGAGCAAGGATAAGGGCAAGCTTGGTTGATAGAGCCATGGAGGAAGAAGGAGGAATGCCTTAAAGGGAAATTAAAAGCTTTTGGAGAACCTTGAAAGGTCGTTTGCGTAAGCGTCAACTTCAACCAACCATAACTTTTGATCTTCTCAACCTTTTGAAGCGATTCAAATTGGAGATTAAAGTTCGTCACAAGAGCTTTCCAACGACTGGTCACAAGTCCATTTCTGACAAGAAACATAGAAGTTACAGCTTCCCAAAGTTAAGCAGTCTAGGCAGGGCATCCTGCACGGACGTGCAAGATGATAGCACGACGGTGCAAGTCTGCACGTCCGTGCCAAAAGCTGCACGTCCGTGCAGACCTTGGCAGAAGCTTCTACCTCCATTTTGGCCCTCCTGCACGTCCGTGCCAAACTTGGCACGGCCGTGCTTAGCCTTGCACGTCCGTGCAGACCTGAAGTCGAACTCCTTCCTTGTTTTCTCCGTCCTTTTTATTTGGGGGTCATATAAATACCCCTTTAGAGCTCGTTTGTACTGGGAGGCAGTTTTGTAGAGCTTTCCTCTTAGTTTGTAGTCTTAGAACATTAAATTCTCAAATCATTAGTTAGCTCTCAATTATTAGCTTGGAAACATTCAAATTCAGTCATTGTAGAAGACAAAATCCACCATTGTTGCTCACTTTGAAGCCTCATAGTAACCATTTCTTACTCATCTTTTCTACTTCTCTTTACTTTGTTGTTAATTATTTGCTAGTTCTTGCATGTTTAGATTGTTAATTAGCTTAATCCTTAGTTTGAACTTGTTCATGAATTGCTTGAAATCTTTAATTGCTTTAACCTCCATGGATTGTGAGTAGTCTAAATTCTAGGGTTTGGGTAAAACCCTCAATGTAGTCACTAATTACTTGTTGCATGTGTTAATTTGATTGTTGTGGGATGTTAATTAGTTGAGCTTAAGTGGTTTAATTGCTTAGTTCTTGTATATGGCCATTGCTAGAACTATTTATCCAAGCTTTCTCAACGAAGGATCGAGAGATGAACTTGAGTTAGCTCCCTTATGCTTGATTGACCCGAAATGCCATGAGAATAGGGATTACCGGTCAAGGGAATGTTTATGTCATCGTGATTATGCTTTAACACTTGTTTTATGCTATGTAACCACGAGAGTAGGTTGTACTCATGATTCAAGTAATCCCTCTAGCTTGAGAGAGTAGTTGGGTGCTTTAGATGACTTCCCCTAATCTATCCCATTAATTTACCTTGATTGTTGCATGCTAATTGTGATTTGTGATGAAATTGGGTGGTTTAACCCAAGCCCTAGATTCCTCTTAATATTGTTAATCTCCTCTTAGTTTTAGTTGAATTGAATTAGTAGAAGTTACTCAAAACCAACCCAATTTCGACTTCATTTAGCTTATTTAAACGATAGTACTCGGTGGTTGATTCAACGCCTCTCTTGGGTTCGACCCTTTCTTACCCTTGCTAATAGTTAGTGAGACCAAGATAGGAATTATTATCTTTGGTAGGCTCGACGACGGCCTATCACCTATACCTTTAGATGCACATAACTTGAAGGCGCTATCATCATCATCCACAACTTGTATTCGGAGATAATCGAACATCCTTTCTCTTCGGAGGCAATTGAAGGAACATTTATCAATACTTAGTGATCATCCCGAGGTGCAGACGGTTACTATTCATACTCACATTGCAAGCTTCTCGAGGCGCAGAGGCTTGTAATCTTTCATCATCAGATATGTTTTCCCGAGGCGCAGAAAATGGTCGACTGTACTGTTGCATAATTCTCGAGGCGCAGAAGTTTGCATTTTTGTCCCAAGGCGCAGACACCTTTACTTGATGTGATTTCGGAGACGTGGAATTTTACTTATGATGTTGTGAGCAACTCGAGGCGTAAGAGTTCACGATAGGATTCTCGAGGCGCAGAATACTATCATACATCATCTGACACTCTTACCAAGGCACAGAAGATTATCATTCATTTAGGACTACTCGAAGTGCAAGAGTCTACAACATGTTTCCTGAGGCACAGAGACTTGTCATCCCTTTCATCTAGTGAATCGCTCGAGGCGCAGTGATTCACGATAGGATTCCGGAGGCGCGGAAGACTATCATTCGACATCCGGTAGATTTCTCGAGGCGAAGAAAGCTACCAAACGTATTTGCTGTTGATGCACTGGTGTACACATTCTGCAGGTAACGACATATATAGTGTGATTTAGCATCGCCGAACGTCTTAAATCATTCTCCGTCCCTATCGACTACTTTGACTATCGTTTTCGAAACTTACATTTCTGCAAATTCAGTCAAAGTAGGGGCTTCTATAGACATCTAAAAATGTCTCCCCAAAACCAAACCCGGTGATAAACAACCTTTCACCGTTATTATTGGCTGGGTCGAGTATTTAATCTCGGCAGTTCTTAAAATCCATATTCAACCCAATACAGTTTACAAATCAGTCTACCTTTCAGTCCAAGTATTTAGTCAAACTTTGTCCAATCCTCATTTTAGCCCAAACCATTTTTAATCCATTTCATTTATTTATTAATTAATTAAGCCTAATTAATAAATTATAAAACCCTTTACTTGAAAATGAGTCTGGAATGACATAAATGACGCCTAATTATCACGTGCTTTATGTATAACATGATAAAAACGAATTTGAAAGAAGTTTCCTGAAAAACCAACTGTCGCGCCACGGCAAGAATATCGTGCCACGGTACATACTATCGTGCCACGGCGTCTGTTTTATCCGCTTTTATCTTATTTTCATGCGTTTTTACTTCATAAATGATAGAATTGACTACCGCGCTACGGTACAAGTAC